TTCTTGGAGGTGCAGATTCAAAGATACAAGTACGGGAAGCCTCTCGTCAAAGATGAAAGATCTCTAACAACGATGATGCGAAGATTGCATGATTGGTACATGAAAATATGCAAAGAGTCTGGGGGGAGGAATACTTTGTATGTGAGAGTTAAAAAGGAGCATGACCTCGTTGGAATTGAACTGTAGCCTGTTTCATTTGAGGAGTTCTTTCAGTTTTTTAATCAATTGGCCCTCGATAAAGCAACGGTCACCTGCTACTGTCTGTAAGTAGTAGTACTTCTGTCATTAAGTCTCTCTATATAGCTCAGTTCTTTCATTGCATGTATTTATAATTATCCTCACTATATTAATTATGCAGATTGAAGATCGTCGAATTGAAGAAAAGACAAGTCGGTGATATTGGGTTCATTAACACAAATCTCATAGATGCAACTAAGGTTAAATTTCACGCCGCAGATACCGAGGCCAACTTGCTACGATCGTTGGTAATAAATGAAAACAAAGATATAATACTCTTTCCTTACAACTTCAAGTGAGTGTTACTGTCTTGTGCATATTCGGTTTCCCTTATATATTAGTCAAGGTTATAGTAATGTAATTGATGAGTTATGCATGCGTGCGCAGGTTCCACTATATTCTCGTAGAGATTAAGCTTGAGCAGGGAGTAGTAACTGTCTTGGACACTAAACGAAAAGATCCCTAGGAGTATGCGGACATGACTCAAATGATCGAGAAGTAAGTTAAATCGATCATTATCCACCATATCAGCAACTTTGTTCATTTCTGATATCAAGTAATTGTTTTTTTTGTCTGGCAGGTTTGGAGAAAATTCACCAGAAAAGCTCCGGGACTACCGAAGAAGCTGGAATTTAGACACCCAAAAGTAAGTACTATAGTAGCATGTTCCGCGCATCCCTAGTGATTCAAGCGCTAGTTTCATCAGTATCATTTGGCATTCTTGCTTATCAGTTTGATTGACCTCTATTTCTTGTAAAGTGGTTATGGCAGGAACAAGGGAATGATTTCTGTGGATACTATGTTTGCGAGTCCATCCGCCACACGACCTGTGAGCGGGGCTACTCTGACGGACAATATGAAGTGCATAAATAACAATATTCACAATTTTATTTTATTACCATCATTTGTGTTGAGTTTCATTTATTCATATATATATATATATATATATATGTATATGTATATGTATATATATATATATATATATATATATATATATATATATATATATATGTATTGACCCCCTTCTTCAAATTAGATGTTTCGGATGCGGGATGAACTCTTAGCACCAGATCGCATGCGAGCAATTCAAGAGGAATTGGCGGCATTCTTTCTTGACCACGTGATCGCTGAAGACGGAGAATACTATGTGGATCATGCGTCCGTAGTTTAGGAGATTATATTTGTAATAGATAATTATTGTATATATGTAGCCGGTAGTGTCGGATAGATATACGAGAACTTGTTGTTCGACCAATCTCTCGGAGAAGGAGAGGTGGTCGATATCACTTCTCTCTGTATGCATATATGTTCATGACGATCTTCTGTTTCCTTTGTTTGCTTACTAGCTAGCTAGCGTGTCTAGTCCTCTCTATACGTATGTATAGTACGTAGCGTCGACCAAGCACAGACATAAGAGAGGACACTTCTCTCTATTAATTAGCTAACTAACACAATATATGAAATACCTAAATTAACCCCCCAAAACCCCCAACCCCCCCTCCCCTTTCAAAAAAAAAAAACAAAAATCCCAATCATAGAAATGCTGACGCGTGGATTCCTATTGGTCCCGATTGGTGCCACCAACCGGGATTAAAGGCCCTCCTGCCTGGGCTCGGCGCACAGGCCATGTGGAGGCCCATCTGTCCCGGTTCTGGTTTGAACCGGGACTAAAGGGTCAGGGCATTAGTAGCGACCCTTTAGTCCCGGTTCAGGAACCGGGACAAAAGGCCCTTACGAACCGGGACAATAGGCCCGTTTTCTACTAGTGAACTCTAAATTTCGTCCAACACTATAACTTGTATGAACGGAAACATACATGCATGAAGAAAAAACAACATCCCCATGAGGTAAGTTTGAGAGATATAATTAGGTATTATGGTGAGGGATTAGTTACTGGCTCAGGGGCTAAGTCATTGGTACCATCGAAGGAACGGTGCTCTAGAGCTACACCATGATGCATGTCGACGGATGGTGAATGACGTGCCCTAGTCCATGAGGCAGATCCAGTACAATTGGGCCTCGAACACCATAGCTTCCGACCTGAGCGGCGGATTGACCATCGACGAAATGGCAGGTTTCGCAGCGCGTCCCCGTTCAAGTTCACCGTGTTCCACGGGGTTCGGTGGCTCTGCCTAGGAAAGCATCGACGTACCTGCAAATGAATATGGCGCTGACCATCCTATGCAGGTTCTTCAGGTTCGAGCTTTTGTAGAGCATCCTCTCCATGGCGCACGCTGAAGGTCCGCATCAGCATTTGTTTGGTGGAGAAGATGAAGATAATCTGCCGCGGAAACACTTACATTCAGTAGTCTGATAGGAGACTTTTGTCAGACGGGTCATTTGCCGTCGATGCTTTCCTAATCCCACGGCTGATATACTTCTAAGCAAACTGGTATTATGTGGGTTTAGCTGGCTAGGGTGAGCGTGTGGCAACGCTGGTTTGATCCCCACACCCGCAATAAATTTTTTAGTGCTCCTCTTATTTCTTTTTTCAAAAGCTGATAAGTGGGTCGCACACAAAACTGTGACAAAACCATCCAAAACTGTACTGGGGACTAAACTTATCCGGCTTGAGAAATTCAGAGACCAAGTTTTGTTGGTTTTGGAGCTGAGAGACCAATTATATACTTTCAAAAAAATTAAGGGACAAAAAATATACTTTTCCCAAAATTAAAAGGAACTCACAAGGCTCGAACTTAGTAATGCACTTCAGTTCCCAAGCAAGGACTTGAGAAAAAATATGTATGTATTATATTTTTTGAGTAGTGAGTGTACATGTATGGCTAAACAAATATTTGGTGTATGGGATGGGGGTTGAGTTTGAAGAATATGCTGACAAGGCCAAGGACACGCTTCTCCGAAAATATAATTGGGCATCACACACTCCGATTGTCCACTCTTATTGCTCTGTATTCGCATCATATATGTATTTGCTAAGAGCGTGTCAAGAATGAGAAGATCTTCTCCGTATTTGTTCGATGCGGCTTGATAGGTGACACATGTGCCTCTTTCAGAATTTTCGGGTGGTACCTGTCGCCGGCAGGTGAAGGCACCGGTGGATGCGCTACCGCCGAATGCTACACACGATGTCTTATACGAAGACGTCAAGTCATGCCTGCTACCAGCAGGTGATGCACGGTGGCTCTGGCGGAGGTGTCTTGTTTAGCCTGTTGCTATTGGATCGAAGATGGTGCGACAGTAGCGGAAGGCAGGCGGTATTGGGCGTCTTTGTCTTCCATTGTCTTCTCCAAAGGTATCTGGCTATCGAGAAGTCAGTAGACGGATAAGGGCGGATGGTACATACGGCTTCAACGACGAGTTTATGCACTCCAGTGGAAACACAAGATCTCTAATAGGGCCATGTCGACGCGCGCCTACATCGCGTCTTTGTTGAAGGTGATGGACTGAAGCTTGGCTTTAGGGATGACAATTCAGAGTTCAACCTTGTGGTGGACTTGCCATCATCGACACACGTGCAGCGATTCTTTCTTAAAGTCGTAGCCTAGGAGTTGTGTATTTTTTGTTTCTAATGTGTCTTGTAACATAGGGTTAGTGGATATCTGGGGGAGTTACTATCGCGAGGTATACAGGCTCGGGTTTGTTTGCCGCTTTATTTCCGGGTCGAGGCTGTTCGGCTGCTGGATTTTTTTTCAATAATATATGGCTGCATCGTTTTAGTGCAGATAGCCTTCTTATTGAAAAAAAGAAAGTAAAAAAAGAAAATAAAAAAACAGTGAAAATAGACTAGGCCATGTACTGAGTCACGGGCTGGGCCAGTACTCTCACAAACAGTTAACGGCCCTTGTGGTACCATCGTTTGGTGGTTGGCCTCGGCTGGGCCTCCAGTTGGCAGGACGACGAGGGCGGACGGACGGGACTACTCCCGGCGACGGCGCGGGGAGCTCCTCCTCACCGGCGATAGGCTTGCCCCTCCACCGTCTCGAGTCTACCGCGCACCGTGCCCCACCCGTGTAACTCACATCGAGCTCCCCTGCTTTGCACTGTACTGCAGCTCCGGTATAGGCGCCAACGGAGATCCCAACGGATCCAATCGACGGAGGCTCAAGAGAGTATTTCTAACCACGCTCACATAAAAACCGACATGGCCACAGTCATGATACCGACATATACCGTGCTGAGCATCTCTGTGCTGGATGGAATTAAGGCCTCGACATTCACATCGACCCAAGGCCAAGGGAAAGGTAGCATCGGCCATCATTTTCTTTCTAGGAATCCATCGCTAGCTACTACCACATTCACATGGAACAGACGAATTGCTTGCTATTCACTGTTTTGGATGGATCCGGAATAGCTTCTTGGCTAGCAACGAAACTGGTTACTTGGCCACACAAAAAATATCTTTGATTGGGACGGGGATGAAGATTGTTTGGCTCTTTTCTAGATGGGAATCCTTTGGCTGCAGCATACAACAATAATTGAACGGTGACAGCTTCGCCTTTGCCTAGTCACCAGTCAATCTGGTACAGTTTTTCTCTGAACTGATCAGCTCCTCGTGTTTGGGTGTATCAACGTTGTTGCTTTCTTGATGGGAGCCATGACAGCAATGTCACAAGGTTCATGCATTGTGGCTTCCCAGATGGCACATGAATGAACGGTTGAAGCAGTAGTGCACCACGCTATAAAAGGGATCCACCAGACCCTCTTCTCACTGCGCGAACATAAACAACACACAGCCTTTGGTACCATATCCACCACAGCACAAACTAGACACTTTTTCCCTGTCCGCCCCAGCCCCATAGGAGATGGAGGCGGCGATTGGCCTCGCCACCGGGCTCGTCGACAGCGTGCTGACTCTGCTTTCCAATGAGCTTGTGGGGGCGTATGTTGCTAGCGCTGAGCTCGGCCTCAATTGCAGGGAGATAAAGCGTGACCTGATGTTCACGCAAGGACTGTTGCACGAGGCTCAGAGAAGTGGCGTGGTTGACAACCACGGTCTCCAAGGGCTGATGCAGGAGCTCAGCACCAAGGCTGACGAGGCTGAGGATGCACTGGATGAGCTCCACTACTTCATCATCCAGGATGATCTCGACGGCACCAACTATGCCGTACCGGATCTGGGTGATGAGCTTCGAGGTCATGCTCGCCATGGTCGGCTTGCTCTTCGCCACACTATTGGTAACTGCCTTGCATGCTTTTCTTGTTCACATATGCATGGTGACGATGTTACTAATAATCCACACATCGCAACCAATCCCTATTGTGATGGTCGAGATAAGTTGCCATTTGACAGAGTGGAGATGTCTAAGAAAATCCAGTCAGTGGTTGAGGAAATACACTCTTTATGTGACCCAGTGTCCAAATTACTCAAGATAATTCCGCAGCATAGCAGCAACAGTCCATTTGTCACCCTCAAACGGCCTCTTATAGGATCAACCACTGTACAAGATAGATTGTTTGGAAGGAGAAATGTGTTTGAGCAAACTATAAAAGATATCATCACAAATAGTAGTGAGACCCTTTCTGTTATTCCTATAGTTGGTCCGGGTGGTATTGGAAAGACAACCTTCACCCAACACCTATACAATGATGAAAGGACTCAACAACACTTTCCTGTTAGGGCTTGGGTCTGTGTGTCAACTGATTTTGACGTGTTTAAGGTTAGCCAAGAGATCCTTAGCTGCATAGAAGGAAAGAAAACCGTAAACCAATCAACAAGTTTAGATCAGATCCAAATATCCATCACGCGGGAACTCAAGCCTAAAAGGTTTTTAATTGTCTTGGATGATATATGGGAATGCAATAGCCAAGGTTGGGAAAATCTGCTAGCTCCACTCATGAAGGGCGAGGCCAAGGGTAGCATGGTTCTTGTCACAACTCGGTTCCCGTCTAAAGCTGATATTGTTAAAACAACTGACCCAATAGCACTGAAAGGCCTTGAGCCCGATGAATTCTTCACATTCTTTGAATCATTTATATTTGCTGGACAAAAACCTGAGGGTTACCATGATGGCTTGACTCGTATTGCAAGGGATATTGCCAAGAAGTTGAAGGGTTCACCTCTAGCAGCCAAAACAGTTGGTCGAATGTTGAAAAAGGATCTATCTTGGGAATATTGGATGAGAGTACTTGAAAACAATGAATGGCAAAACGAAAAAAATGCTGATGACATTTTGCCATCTTTAAGAATTAGCTATGATTACCTTCCTTTCCATCTAAAAAAATGCTTCCCATATTTTGCCTTGTTCCCTGAAGATCATAGGTTTAAGAATTTAGAGATTATATATTTTTTGATTGCAATCGGAATCATAGACAAAGATGAGAATTACATGGACGAACTAGTGGACAATGGTTTTCTTGTGAAGGAGAATGATGATCGGGAGGATCAATATTATGTATTGCATGATCTATTGCATGAATTAGCACGAAATATTTCATCAAAAGAATGCCTCAATATATATAGTAGTGCAAGTTTTAGAGCCATTTCCACCCCAAAATCTTTTCGTCACTTGTCCATCACCATGAAAAACAAATATGATGGGAACTTCACGGGAGAAATTGTTAAATTTAAGAGCGATGTAGACTTTGTAAATTTGCGTACTTTGATGATTTTTAGAGGACATGCAGGAACTATTGATGTGATTTTGAAAGATATTTTCAAGGACATAAAAGGTCTTCGTGTCCTATACATAGATGTCGAGTCCCCAGAATATTTCCCACACAACCTTTCAAAATGTATCCACCTCCGATACCTAAAAATTACAAGATATAACTCTAGCTCACAAATGACTTTGCCTAGCATATTATGCAGATTCTATCACTTGAAATATTTGGACCTAAGTAGGTGGTATGGTAGTGATAAGTTGCCTAAAGACATTAGCCACCTTACCAATTTATGCCATTTATTAGTAACAAAAGAACTCAATTCCGATATTCCTGAGGTTGGAAAGATGAAATGCTTGAAGGGGCTTAGAAAATTTCATGTCAAGAAAGAGAGTGTTGGATTTGAATTGAGTGAGTTGGGTAAGTTAACTGAGCTTGGAGGAAAACTCAGTATATATAATCTTGAAAAGGTGGCAACCCAAGAAGAGGCTACAAATGCCAAACTGGTGTCAAAAGCTGATTTGAAAAAGTTGGAGTTACTTTGGGGCACAGAACACGATCAGGGAGAATCTGAGGTCCTTGGTGATAGTACAGAATTATCTGATGTTATTGATGGTCTTGAACCACATCCAAATCTTCAATCACTTGTTATTAAAAATCACGGTGGCTCAATCTGTCCTAGTTGGTTGTGTGGTTCCATTGGCCTACTAATGCTGACGTCCCTCTGCCTAGAGGATGTTTCTTGGACCATTCTTCCACTTGGGCGTCTGCTACATCTCACGTCACTCACATTGAGGAATATTCCTAGACTTGGTCAGATCATATCTGGCTCTTCTGACATTACAGACAGAAGTTTTTCGCGGTTGAAGAAGATTGTCCTTGTTTGGTTGCCAGAATTAACCGAGTGGGTTGGGACGCTTAATGCCCATTTGTTTTCAAGGCTTGAGTTTGTACTTTGCAATGGATGCCCCAATCTGGGTGCTTTGCCCTTCTTGCGGGAGGGCTCTGCCTCTTATACCAGCCTGTCGACACTTCGAATTATCAACTGCCCCAAGTTGTTCCTGCCCTCCATGCCGGTAATTCATGGTTGTATGGAGCACCCTGAACATGACTTGTCTTTGACAAGGCATAGTGGCGCTTTTCAAGTTGCATCAAAATTTACATGGGCGCAACTCCCAAAGCTAACCTCCCTTAAGGAACTTATGATTGTAGAAGATCCAGGCTTTCTGTCAATTTCTCTGCTCTCAAACCTTACATCTTTGACAAGTCTAAAACTTGAAGATTGCGAGAATTTGGAAGTAGATGGGTTCAATCCTCTCATCACAGCTGTCAACCTCAAGAAACTGGTGGTCAACAACATGGGACGAGATCGTCCTCGCTCTTTAGCAGCAGAGATCTTTTGTCAGAATTGGTTGTTGCAAACAAGACCAAACAGTTGTTGCCTGATGCAGGCTGCTTTCAATTGGATAATTTTTCAGTGGATAGCAGCTCGGCGGTGCTGGTTGCACCCGTATGCAGCCTCTTCGCCGCTACTCTCCACGAGTTATACATCCGGTTTGACCAGCGGGTTGAGAGCTTCACGGAAGAGGAAGAGAATGCGCTTCAGCTCCTCACCTCCCTCCAACAACTGTACTTTTGGAATTGCCCAGGTCTTCCATCCCTCCCTCGAGGGTTACACAGACTTTCTTCTCTCGAGCTTCTATCAATCGATAGTTGTCCAGAAATCCAGTTACTGCCCAAGGAGGGCCTCCCCGCTTCCTTGCAAGATCTATTTGTAATGAGATGCAGTCCTGAGCTAACCGACCAAGCCAAGAATTTAAAAGCAACATATCCAGGGTAGGTAACTAACGAAACCTCCCCGCAGCCAAGCATAACTAGCTGTTGTTACCAATTTATTCTCTTCTCTCTACTACATATATATAGTGCTGATTTATATATTCCGTCAGGCTTCCTGGAACAGCTACGTGATACATGTCACATGCTCAAATTGCTAGCTGCAATGTGGTACCCTTGTAGAGATTATGGATCCGTGAACTTACTTATATACATGTAAAAGTAGCAGCTATCTACCTCTTATTGCCACCTATATTTTGTTGAAATATATTGTCTCATTAGTTCGGACTTTTGGATGAGTTGGCTGGAGCATGAATTCAATATCGTATCCGAGCCAAGAGGTCTTGAGTTCAAGACCCTGCCAACGCAGTATTAAATAAAACGATTCTGTGGCCTACATCGATCCCACATTTAAGGACTAAAATAGCCTAGACGTGAGGGGGAGTGTTGAAATATATTGTCCGCCTCCCTCCATCATTTCGGATTTTTGAATGAGTTGGCTGGAGTATGAATTCAATATATTGTCCGCCTCAGTCTACCGTGCGAAGGCCTTTGGCCATCAAGTCGACAACATTGTGTCATTCACCGTGAGGCAATGATGTTTGACTGTTCCATGGCAATACTCCCTTTCAAGAGTGTCATTTCCTATATTCTTCAGTGCCTATGATGAAATAGCTATGTGACCATTCATGTAGTAAGTGGCACCGCTTAATTATATGTTTGACCTGTTGTATACATTTCCGTGTACTAGAAAGCGAGAGAATATTTCTGTTAAACATATCCTATGAGAAAATTCATATAACACCGAAGGTAATATATCGTGGTGCTTTTCTTGTAATTTGGAATGTGGTAATTATCCTAACCTCCAGGCTATCGAATGTTGCAGGTCTCAGAGCACAAAGGTATTTTCATCGATGGCTTCCTTGCAGTACTGGTCGATTCTCTGGTGCATGCAATTGCTTCCAGGTGGTAAGTGCTCCATCTTGTTGGATTAACACAAATTTTTGCTTAGCCTTTTTTTGTCCACGCTAAAATATGTATATGCCAACCGTGTGGCAGATTGCGAAACTGCCACACGCATCCAACGCCATCAATTCTCTTTCGATTTCCTTCCTTTCCCGCACGACCTCCCGATTTCTTTCCTTTCCCTCACATCCTCCCCCGATTTCTTTCCTTTCTGCATGTCCTCCCCGATTTTATCGGGCGCACCCGCTCGTGCCTTCCTAATTTTCGTAATTGTCATTTTTGGCCCTACATGCCTTCTTAATTTTCAGCAAAAATAATGCTTGGACTAGGATTTGATCTCTAGTCCACATGTAATTAACAAATGGAGCTAACCGCCTCACCTATGGCACTCATTGTTGAACATTCTAAGGAAAATACTGTTTTTGACATGTTTTTGCCTTTAATATGTTAGCACTGAAAAACTTTTTGTTTCAAGCATCGTGGCAACTTTGATCATTGGGAATAAATTTGTTCAACCCGCCCTCCGGTCATTTCTGTAAATAGCATGATAACATTCACGCCATAGACCTGATAATTTAGATACAAACATCGTGGTAACTTTAACCATTAGGGAAGATAAATATGAAAAGATACCCGATAATTTATGTGTAAATAGATGGTAATATACGCAGCGCACATCTGATAACTGAGGTAGAAGCACCATGGTAACTTTGACCGTAGGGAATTTTTTTTTTTGAAAAGATACTTCGGTACCTTCTGTGTAAATAGCACGGTAGTATACCTTCCTCCCCTGACATTTTTATGTGTAAATAGTATGAAGACATATGCACTGCGATAACTAAACACCATGATAAGTTTTTGACCCGTGTGGAGGGGGAGGGGGATTTGTTGAAACATATCCCTGATAAATTTTGTGTAAATAGCATGATATTTTAAGCACTACGGGCTTGATAGGTTACCTAGAATCACCATGATAACTTTTTGCCCCGGGAAAAAGTTGTTCAAAACATTCCCAATAATTTTTGTGTAAATAACATGATAATATAAGCACCGCATAACCGATAACTTGCAATATAAACATGATGGTAACTTTTTTACCAAAGGAAAATAAGTTGTTAAAAACATACACTCGCCTCGCGCGTGGGCCTCTTGGATGAACACAACACATGGCGTGCTACGGGAAAGTCACATAATGTTTAGTGTCATGAGGGGCACAAGTGCTATAGACGTGATAAGTTACGCAAAAACATTATGGTAATTTTTGAGCTATGAAAAAAGCTACCGAAACACACCCAGGTTTTTAGGTGCAAGTACCATGATAATATATGAACCGTAGACCCGGTAACTCATGTACAATCCCCCATGGTAACTTTGACCGGGGGGAGGTTGATGTACATATACCATGATAACTTATGTGTAAGTACCACAGTATTTTACACATCAAAGACCTTATAACTTGTGTACAAAACACAGTGGTAACTTTGAAGGGGTGTAGTTGTTGAAGCATAGTACCTGATACATTCTATGTAAATAGCACGGTAAGTTATGCAACACAGGCCTGATAACTTGCATACAAATATCATGGTAACTTTGTCCTGAGGAGAAATCATGTGGTAGACGTGAAGAAGTGACAGTTTTCTCGAGGGTGAGCGCCCGAGATGTGCGGGAGAAGCACGTTTCTCGCGCGAGCCTGCGGGGTCATTTGGGAGGAGGCGAGGTAAAAAGACGAGGGATCGTATGATACTTTAAAATGAAAGAAATAGATGTGTGACAGTTTTGCTTATATGGCACATGTGTGCCAAATATCACATGTTTTCGTGCAATATTGAAGCAGGTTTAGTATTTGTTCTTTCAGTCCATTTCCATGGTATCCTTAACATATTGAAGCAGGTTGAGTACATCTTGTGCAGATTTGATATATGGTTATGTTTCATGGTCAACCTCAACCCTCAGAGTTTCAGTTCTAGCTTAGCAGGTTCGTGTGTTGACTATGAATGAGCAGGTGTCGCGATTCACGCCTTTAGACATGTTACCTTACATGTGGATGATGGATTCTGTGGTTTCAGGTGCGTGTGTGTCACCATGTTGACGAACCTGAATCATGACGAAGAAGCTATATATGGCGAAGGAAGCGACTAACCACCAGTCGACTGGTCGCTAACCATCAGATCCGCACGATACTTTCGATGGCTGAAACAACGCTTCACATCTATGTGCAATCTCGCATGCAGCGTTGCGGTGCAATCTCCCATACACATATTTTGGTTTGCATGGAGTGCACGTCCTATTGAACCCAATTAATAATGCATGCATGTAGATAAGAAAAAAAGATGATGTCAGCAAAGATTCCATTAGAAATTAAACTTCAAAATGTTTTGTAGCTGAAACCGTTGGTCCGATTAAAAAACCGTTTTCACATAAAAGATTCGTCGCGACGAAACCTTCAAAACTAAATCCCATGTTGGTATGTTTCGATGATTTTTTTCGGGTGAAAAGTTACCAGACCTAGGCTAAGTAAGTTATCACCTGTGTGGTACGTCAGTTACCATCATGTTTACATGGAAATTACCGGGGCGTAAAAATTGCTCCTCCAACATTCTCTCCTCATGCAAAAACAGTAGAGCACAGAAAACCTGATGTAATTGTAAATCCTCACTATTTCGAAAATGTTTTATAACTCAAACCGTCAATTTTGATTGAAAAATCGTTTTCACATAAAAAATCCACCACGATGAGAACTTCAAAACTAGATCTCGTGTTGACATGTTTAGATCACTTTTTTGGTCAAAAGTTACTGTAAAGTTATCAGTTATGTTATATGTATATTAACATGTTATTTATACAGAAGTGACCAGAGATGTGTTTTAAACGACTTCTTCCCCCTGGGTCAAATTTACTGTGGTATTTATATCTAAGTTATCAGCTCCCGGATGCATACATTACCGTTCTATTTGCACATAATGAACCGGGGTATGATTCAATAAATTTTTATTCGGGTATAAAGTTATCGCGTTGTTTATACCTAAGTTATTAGGTCTATGATGTGTGAGTTACCATGATATTGACAAAAGTTAACGAGGTATATTTCATCAACAACCCTCCAGCACTCCTCATCACCGTCTCCAAACTTACCAGGACTGGGGCACATAAATTATCTGATCTACGATGTGTGAGTTATCATGTTATTTACACAAAAAATTACCATATGTTTCATCAACCACCCTTCGCCCATCCAGTCACCGAATTTACCAACGAGTGGGGTACATTAATTATCAGGTCTATCAAGGTGTGAGTTACCGTGCTATTCACATAAAAGTTATCGGGGATATATTTCATCACCCCTCCCTCGCAAAAAGTACCAGGACCGGGATGCATAAGTTTCGGGTCTCTGATGTGTGAGTTACCATGCTATTCACACGAAAGTTACCAGGGGATACTTGATCACCACCCCTCACCCCCCACACACACCAAAGTTATCAGGTCTATGATGTGTGAGTTACCATGATATTGACAAAAAAGTTACTAGAGGTGTATTTCGTCAACAACCCTCCCCCACCACTCACCACCGTCGCCAAAGTTATTAGGACTGGGGCACATAAGTTATCAGACTGTGATGTGTGAGTTATCATGTTATTCACACAAAAAGTTACCAAGGGTATATTTCATCAACCACCCTCCCCCCACATGGTCACCAAATTTACCAAAAAGACTGGGGCACATAAGTTATCAGGGCTGAGATGTGTG